CTGTTTAATAACCTGTCTCAAATAGATTGTACCCCTTTCCCGCTATGTTTGTTTATATTTCTTTGTCAACGTATTTTTAGTCCCGCGGCATAGTGGCTCATAGAATGGCTCTGAGTTTTTCAAGTACAAACTTGTAGCTCTGGCCGATTTGAGATCCAATTAGAGTTTTGGACTCGGGAGGTTTCGATTAACATATTTGACCACATGCAAGGTCTCGTAGATTAATTTACTCCAATCCTGCCTAAAATAATTCAATTTGAGGGTAGGCTGGTAGAAATCCTGATGAGTAATAAAATCGAATCAGGTATACGCGCACCCTACGCTTGGTATATTACTGGCGCACAAAAATATAGCTAACAAAAAAGGAGAAAAAAAAGGTTTCGTAGATTAATTTACTCTAATCCTGCCTAAAAGAATTTCAACTGCCGCGGCTTATGAGGATTCTCTCTCTTGTTAATCATTAGATATGCGTGATGATTAAATTAATATGTGAATCTATTAAAATAAGTTATTCCTTTTTTTACATAGGTTATTCATATTTCTATATTTGGCTTGAGAAGAACTGATTTTAATTCAAAGCTGAGTTCCCCAAGTGGCATTAAACTGACATGCAACACAACAGCGCCCAATAAAAAATAACCTTTAAAAAGGAAAACTACATGAAAGAATACCTCTATTTGCTGAATAAAAAGGGGGGAAAAGGTATTCATATGACATCGTATTTCTGTGTAAGCGACCTTCAATTCTTCACTTAATGCCATTCACCCTATGGTTGTTAAGCCATATGTGTAGCTTAATATGCCATTGTTCATATGACGTTCCTGCTTTTGAATAAAACGTCAGTGAAACACAATATGACACCAGCTTCCCAGAGAGGGTACTATTAATCTTTGTATGTAGAATTTTTTTTATGCTGCTACCCAATACATGACGAATAGCTGTCGTTTTGTCCTGCTTCTAGTTTTGTGTATTAGGACAGAAATCATTTCATTTGGTCTTATCAGAAAACAGAAGTTCGTTGGTCCATTGACCAGGTGTGGGCTACTTGGCCTCGTAGGTTATACAGAGATTGGTTGGATGCTTTATATGAAATTCCATTGAAAGTCATAAGAAAGAGACCTTTCATAATCGAACCATCGGTATGCGGTTAATATGAGACGTTTTATACCCCCCTCCTTTTTTTAACAAAGATGACACGAGATATTGTTAGGATTTAGCATTCTCCTCGTGATTTAAATACTACGACAAGGAGGGTATTCTTGTAATGCATTGATTACCGTCTCATTTTTTAGGGAGGTTAAAATGGCTTTAGTATTAGATACTTTATCACTCATTATTGCTTTTTACTCAACCTTTAAATTATCAACTTGTTTTTATACCTTTCACTGCCAGTGTGCTCCACATACTGCATCATATTGAGTAAGTCATACGTTTTTTTTTGTCAATTACAACAGTCATGTAAAAATAATGACCAAAAACTGGGCGAAATTACTAACTTTCTGTGTAATATACGTAGGGAACCATACCTATAACTATTGGGATTAATTACAGTATTTATGTATTATTAGAGAGATGTAACCAACAGTGTCTCATGGACCCACAAACAATCTGGTGTCTTGGTGTATAAATATTTTAGAAAACGTGTTTTTAAGAGCTCCACGTAAAGCAACTGTAGTTATACACCTTAATCCACGTAAAGCAACTGTAGTTATACACCTTAATTAATAGTGAAGTATCTGATTAAGAATAATAAGGGCAACTTTGAAACATTCTATCGTCATGAAAGTATAAAAATGCAAAGAAATGAGCGAATCCAGACCGTGGCTCCGCTTCCTTTTATAAAATGAACTATTTAAAATATAAACATGTCCAGATGGCATTCAAATTAGATCCGTTACATAGATTATTATGATCACATAGCTAAACCTTTCGATCTGGTGATAACGAAAGTTTTGGTTGTAGTTGTGCCACGGGTGTACTTTACACATAGGGATGAGAGAGGGAGGGGGGTTGGTCAGGTCCTTCACTTTTTTCATTAACTGGACGATTATCCCATCATACTTCAACAACAATATTTTTTTTCCCATTTTAGTTACAGATTAATTTACTCCAGGACCCAATAAAACCAGCACCAAGTACTATATAGTCGAAGAATCTCTTTTATATGGAACACGTAATAATTGTTCTTCATTCACCACCACTACTTCTGAAACCAAAGTTACGCTCCCAAACTACATGGTCCAGGCAACAGCTGGATCATCATGTGACTTCAAAGAGTGTCTCTCATTGGTTCCAACCTCGGTTGATTTGTTTATTTATTTATTTTTCAGTGTGGAACAGAGGTTGATACTAGGAGACGGAGAATATCAAGGTAAAAACTGACTTTTGTTGTAAAATAACAGTGGGACAGCGGTGGGTTTACGGACTTACAACGCTAAAATTCAGTGTTCGATTCCCCACGGTGGACACAACAGATAGTCAAATGTGGCTTTTTTTTTTCTGGAACAAATATACCTTTGGGCAAGAGTCTAATTTTTTTGTGGGATTAATAGGTTTATTAATATATATTGAATAACAGATTAAGTGTGTTAATTCATTCTAAGATCAATATTAAGGCGGTTTATTAACACTAATTATACTGATTGATCTTCAAGAAGTTTCTGTACGTGAACATTAAGATAATTATATGAAAGCATCTTGAGATCGATACACAAAGATATCCATTCTGTCTACTTACACTTTAATTGTACTTCTTTTTTTTTCTAATTGCTTCCACTATTTGCGTTTTAGAAAATTACTTGCGTTATCTTCGTTTCTCATTTGATGGAGGATGGTGAAAAACGTGGATGTCACGCATTCTAAGAGTCATCTATAAATTCTATTAAGATTATGAAAATCGGATATTATAATACTCGGAAACCATCCATTAGATACTACACACTAGAACATTTGGACATATTAGGGGGTAATTGCAGACAATACATTTGTCCAATCAGACGAACTCCACAGTTAAGGATTAGTAAGTTGTCTGTATGTACATAAATATTAAAAAATAAAGCTTGTGCCCATTTTTTTTCGTAATTATTACGTAATTTCTTACTTAACTCTTCGGTCACGAGTAAGCCATCTGAAACAATCTCGGTACAAAGGTGTCGCGTTTTTATCTTATTTCGGCAGATTATTTTAAAGTGAACTTGACTGTTTTCTAACAAGTATACGTGTTGTTGTTTTGATTATTTATTTTCCTTTTAAAAACCTGAGCAAAAATATTGTTACGCATACGTGACAAGACAAATAAGGCTTACGATATAAAATTACAGAACGGAAACAGCTGAACGAATCTTGGTAGGAGAGGTATCTGAAGAATTAAGGCCCACCCAAAACTTGCTGAGGGGAATGGGGAAACAGTAAAAGTAAAGCATAATAACTGAAAATGGCAGATCGTTGTGCCGCTTTAAACTGTGTAAGAAATGTCAACACTTGAAATAAATGTTCATTTATAATTATCTTGTGGACTTAACCCTATGTAAGACGTATCAGTTTGTACAAACCTCCTACAAATGGCTTGATTTTATATCTAATACACGAGGTTTGACATCTGTACTT